AGGGGGAGGATGTTGAAAAACACAAGCGCTGTTGGCGAGCACCCGTTACATTTGTGTGGCAACGCCGCAGCCTCCATGGCTCGCTGCCGATTGCGAACCAATCGCTCAACGCTGGTCTGCCCAACTCGCGTCGAAAGCGTTCAAAACATCAGCACCGTGCGTCCACTCCTCTTGTCCGTCTGTAACGGGGTACGATGACTCGTTAAGACAATCCGATATGAGGACGAGTCCAGTGATGAAGTCGTGTTGCTTTGAGGGTAACATTGATCAACGGGTTTAACACACAGTAGTAGTAGGCTTTTGGCGACCAATATAATCCATAGTAAAGATTTTTTTGTGGTTAGAATTGTAAATGTGCGTTTACTCTCCAACACACCACTATGATGAACTAGTCACGAATTGGCATGTTTTGTTTTGCGTGACAGACGTTACTAATTGGCTGTGTCGGGTGGTGGCGGGCTTAACGACACATTTACGCGACCTAACTAAAAAAAAAACCTCCCATGGATTTATCAACGAGTTTCCCCAAACTTGGGATACACAAACCTGGGCTCGGGAGAGCACCCCGCTTGGTGTCCCCGCCCAAGGCGCGTCCTCCCGGGCAGAGCCACCAGGCGAGGCCGTGGTCTCATCGTGGCCTACAGAGACGCCGCCCCTTCCCCGCATGCCTGGCCGTGACCGTGGCCGTCATTATCGCTCAATTAAGTACTCCTCAATCTATATTGAATTACTCCTCCTCGACGAGGACACACGCACGATGGAAAGCGTTACTCGGAATCCATGCGTGTGCGTGGTTCTTCTTACTCGTCCGATTCTCCGTCGGCAGGGGGTTTGGGGGGAGAGACGCGCGCATGTCACGACTTGTAAACAATTTCGTTTCACCAGGTAAGGCCCAGTGAGCTATGTAGCGACCTGGCCACGAATTATAGGTCGACAAAAATGGCTCATCATGTAGACAATTATAGCAGTCAAATACTCCTAAGCCCGTGTTTCCTTACTGTGGACTGGGGAAAACCGGAGGACCCAGAGAAAAATCCACGCGACCATGGGGAGCGAGACACCGCCAACTCCACATGTACAGCAGCGGGCGTCAGGGTCGGGATCGAACCGACAACCTATTGCGTACCGGGCGAGGGAGTTAACATCTCACAACCACCGTGGTTCCCCAATGCCGATCTCCCACGGTGTTGTTGGTTGAGTGGAGTCAAGAAGAGTCGTCAGTAGCCAGCAGCCAAGAGGCCCCAGCTACTCCTTCCCTCTCTCACACAAAGATACGGTGCTGTGTTTGCGAGCGCCTATTAAGGCCGCCACATGCGCACCAGAACCCTCTCCGCCTTTGTCTCCCGAGTGACGATGTTGACACACCGCACCAGGTACTCATTTGAGGCTAAGTCGATCTCGGGGTGGCCCAGGACCGGTTCAGATTAATCGTCACTGATGTCGGCCGTGAGCGGTAATCGAACCCGGGTCGCCGGGTTCGTAGCGCTGCGCCACCGCTCCCCATTCACACATGTGCACACACAAAGATCCCCCGTGTAGCCTTAGCAGACTGTTGGGGCAAGTGCTGTTAGCGAAGCGCACTCTCTCACACACACACGCCCGCAAACACGAGCGCACACACACACACACCCCCTGTGCGGGCTCAGTGGGAGTTTGGATAGCGCGCTCTTTGAAGAGAGCCGCTCTGCCAACAGCTTCGAGGGAGGGGCGGCGTGGGGGAGGCTTAAGCAGAGCAGCCGAGCTTGTTTGCTTGTTTTAAATTCCTCCTTGATGGGTTTTTATAACATTTTTTTTCAACCTCCTCCCCTCTCTCCCTCTCTCCCCTCTCGCACAGAGACCACAGTGGGTCCTGTGTAGCAGGGGTAGGCGGGTTAAACCTTTGCAGACTGCTCCTTCGCCAACCACCGATCATTGTGCTTTTGTCGGAATAGTAATGATGACGAGGATGATTTGAGCGATCTTCGTGATGATGATTTGAGCCCTTGATCCATTGCAGCTTCGTCTTCTCGCCTGCTGCTGCCACCGCGGCGGCCCTGTTGCTTCTCTCAGCGTCGGGCTTGTGATGTTTTAGCCAGCAGTGGATAGACCACGGCTCGTGACGACGATGCGGCCCCGTCTGTGGGCCCCGGCAACGAGGAGGACCTGCACGGTGAAAGAGGGCCCCTCCCCGCGTCGTGTTAGTTGTGCGTGGGGGTTGTTGGCGAGAGACCGGATGCGGCGGGGCAGAGTGATTCGCACGCTGCTGTGAACCCGGCGACCCGAGTTCGATACCCAGCCGCGGCTTACACGAGTGGTAGCTGATATCTGAACCAGTGCTGGCACCCCTGCACAACCACAGAACCCACACTGACTATCGTATGTTGAACGTCTTTCCCGCCGGACATAGCCAACTGTGCTAATTGGAGGTGCGGGAAATCTTGGTGAACTATGGTCAAGCGACCCTTACGACCCACTCGGTGTGGGAGGACGTTCATCCAGGAGGACATTCATTTAGAGTATTTGGCTGCTTCTGAAAATTTCCGCTTGATGATAAGCCACTGGTTTGAGCTATCATTTGCGGACAGGTCGCTTCTAAAAAAAGAGCTGCATATACCTCAGTTGGCCTTACCTGGTTTAGTGCATTGACAAAGTTGGCCTTACCTGGTTTAGTGCATTGACAAAGGGCTGCACATGCACACGTGTGCAAGTATCGGGGCTGAATGTTCTCAATGCTCGTGGATTGAATCTGTTACGAGAGGGGCCTGCGGTTGCCGTGTCACGGGTTTCACCGTGTAGGTTTTACACCGGCCGTAGCGGTGGCTATGTCGTCCAGACATCTGCACTCGGCGTCCCTGTGGGGCTCAGGGTGATCATTTGAACGTGCCAAGCGTTGCGCGGTCGCATTCTGCCTCGGTTCTCGACCACGTGCTAGTTTCAGGCAACAGCTCTCGGCGCAGTCTCTTACGGAGATCGTCACCGGATCGATTCGCCCGCCACTGCGGGCGTCGCGGTGCCGAGAGCCGGCGCTGCAGTGGCGAGATGGAAACTCCCTCGCCTGGTATTTAGGAGGTCGTGGGTTCGATCTCGACCTTGACGCCTGTATATTTGGAGTTTTCATGTTCTCCCCGTGGTCACGTGGAGTTTTTTTTCCGGTTCCTCCGATTTTCCCACGCGATAAGCCACTTCGTCAAGCTATAATTTTTGTGGCCAGGTCGCTTCTGAAAAAGAGCTACCTAGCTCAGTGGGCCTTACCTGGTAAAATAAAAAAAATGTTTGATAGTTTAGTATGGCCCCGAGCCTTGCTGCGTGCCGGTTCAGCAGACACCGTACACATTGTGCTAGATTGCGGCTAACTGCCGTGCGTGTTAACGCCAAGGCATCGCTCCTGTGGCCTGCGACCAAATCCCGCGGAACGAGCCCCGTCCCGTCGCATCCCGGAAGCTAAGCAGGGCTGAGCCCGGATGTCGCTTGGATGGGCCACCACACGTGTTCGCTTGTTACAGGCTGCGGGCCTACGTCGTTGGCAGCAGAGGTCGGGCAGCGAAATGTACATCTATGCTGCCTGCTTTCACCGACCCGCAATGGCCGGGATGGGGAAGTATGGCCAAATAACCTCCAGGACCCAGAGGGCGTGGGGAGGCCCTTATCCAGCAGTGGATTGACAAAGGGGCCGTGCGTGTACATAGCTGTGTGGCAGTTCTTCTCAACGGGCCCCTCCCGGTAAGAGGTTGAGTGCAATGGTCACGAGTACAGTTACACTGGGGAGAGGGTTATTGTTGGGATTGTGGTCCGCGTTGAGCATTGTGTTATGAATAGGGTTACGTTCAGGGATGTGGTCAGAGCCGTGTGTCATTGTTATTCGAGCTGAGCTCTCATCCCGCTGTCCAAAGTAATCGATGACTCCTGGTGATTATCGGTTCGACTGCTCAACTCGTCGGAAAGCGTGAAAATTGTTGTGAAATGAAGTCCCGCCTCTGTTTCCCACGTGTGCCGCTGGATGGGAGGGTGGGGCTTGGTGACATCATCTTTGTCATCGCGCTGGGTGTGGCTTGTCGGGGGTTTCCTGCCTTCGGGAGGCGGGATGTGGGGGGCCAAACCGCCGTGTGTAAAGGCAAGCGAGTTGATTGACCAGAACATTTTTTGTCGGTGAATCTATTTTTAATCGATCAACTTCATTGACGAATCGTCTCATCTATGAACAGTGTCAGAGTGATGGTTACAGTGGGGGTTTGTGTGACCGCTGTGGCTGGAAGAGCACACGACTCTGTGGCGTGGACAGCAAACCAGCGCCGCGCCGCTCTCGCTTGCTCGCTCCGCGCGTTCACGATCGCGAGTTACGACGAGGCCTCTTAAAAACAAAAACAGGCGGCAGAAATGACCACCGAAGTACACCTCGGGCGTGTTTACGTGCCGTTATATTACTGCAGGATTGTTATTTTCATGAATTATAAAATACTTTTTTTTGTATTTGTCCAAAAGCCACATTTCACTACCGTTCGCCCCTTTCAGTGGAGAGTGGGAGAGCGCATGAGAGAAGAGCGAGTGATTCGGAGTGAATGAAAGCGGCATTTGCTCAGCGAAGAAGTGCGCGGATATCTGGAACGGTGGCGTGTTAGTGGGTGAATGAACAACAGAGTGAAACAGACGAGAGAGCAGCGCGGTAGTACTGATGAGAATGAGCGCTGGCGGGTGAATGCATGAGTGTGTAGTCGTGAGTGAAAAATTGACCGCGCGAGTGAATTTCATGAACGTCTCCAATGGGTTTTCGCTTCACGTGCATGGAGCTTCTTCAGGATCTGATTCGAGCAAGCACCCTTTTCCCCTCTTACACGACATTGCCAGGCTGCTGCCGGTTTTTGATGCGCGCCAATTGGTTCGGCACGCGGCGTGAAACTCTGGATATCGCGTGGCCCATCCCTGCGCGGCGGAATGTGATGCTGTATGCATGTTGAACTTCTTTCTCACCGTCCGTAGCCAACCGTGCTAATCGGAGGTGCTGCGCTGCCCCCCGTGCCGTGCAGGTGCACCCGCTGTCGCTGTGCGTGAGCACCGAGGACGAGGAGCTGCTGGACTATGGCTGGGTTGGCGTGGTCAAGCTGGACAGCCCTGAGCTCAACATCCACCCCTGCCTGGACGTCCTCGGCAAGGTGAGCTATCGCGGCAGCCCGAGGCAAACTATCAACGATGAACACTTTTTTATTTTACCAGGTAAGGCCCACTGAGCTACACAGCTCTTTTTGGGAAGTGAACTGGCTATCACAAATGATAGGCCATTCAATGAAGTGGCGTATTATCATGAAATTTATCGTGGCCCCCCTCGTTCTTCTGAGCGAACACAGAGGGGCAGAAACGATTGAGTGACGATGTGAAGTCCGCGGTTACCCTTTGCACTGAGGGACTTCGAGAGAAAACTGGAATTTTGTAAGCAAGTTGACAAACACACCAGTCATTGAAGTGACTTAGGAGCCGGTTCACTGTTGGTAGACACTGAGCAGTCAAACAAGCCCCACAAGACAGCGTTAATGATTGATGCCTTGGCTGGGCTTTTTCAGTCCCGGGCGCTTGAGTTTTGGGGAGGAGGAGGCTTGCTGCTTGTGTTCGAGGTACTCGCTAAAGTGCCTGTTGAGTGGATGTCAAACAACGCTGCCGCCGCTGCCGCCACATAGGCCCACAGCCAGGCCGGTGCTTCCGACCAGTGATGAAACACGTAAAATGTACGTTGAACGTCTTTCGCGCCCCATGTAGCCAAACGTGCATGAATCCGAAAGGCTGTGAGAAAATTTTTAGTTCAAGTTTATCAAGTTTATTTTTGTTTAATCGGGTGATCAATTTGAGAGACTCGGGGTGAAGTCTCAATTGCAAGAGTGACCGGGGGACATTTGTTTGCCAGGCGGCGGTGATAATTGCTGCTGCTCCTGCCGTGTGTAATCCCAACGGAGTAATTTGCGGTGTGATTTATTTTTAATTTGGCAAATTTGGAGCGTGACGATAATGCGCGTACTGGGTTTCCAAGTCTAATACGTCGGTGTCGTTTTGTTCATCTTATGGCCCTTTTCTCAATCCACGTGGTGGGGGGAGGGGGGGAGCTGTGAAGCGGGGAGCATAGTACGTAGTACATAGTACAGCCCAACAACGGATCTTTGCTGCGCTGCCCTCTGCTGCACACAACGGCAGCAGCGGCGGCGGTGGTGGTGGCAGTCTATCGGGAGTGCTGCCTGGGCTCAAGGAAGCTTGCGAGACGTGACGAGGTGGGGCGCGCGTTCCCGCTGATTGTCGGTGATCACCGCTCGGACGTCGAGATCGTGATGATTTCCGTGTTGTCTTTTGTCGAGCTGCTTCTTTTGTTGTTGCGTCGAGCTAGGACCCACGTCCGACGAGCGGGAGAGAGACGGGGGGGCGGGCGAGGTCCTTGCCTTCACAGATCTGGCAGTTCAGCATGGCTCTGCTGATGAGTCACTGAATGTTGAAACCACTGCAGAGTTTGCTTACATGAAACCGAATGCAAGAAGAAGGCACGAGCGTTCTCCACGCCCCTGTTTGAGGAGAGGCGAGAGTCGTGTTAATGGGGACGGTGGTCGGTAGGCAGGCCGCAGGCACGTGCATGACAGCCGCGTGTGTGCGCGTCGTGAACCCGTCGCCCCGTGAACCCGTAGCCCCGTGAGAACGGGCGGATGTCGGCGATGTCGTCATTCTGCCAGCAGCATTGGGGGCCCGGGCGCTCACAGCGTGCGTGCCCCGTGTGTGCCCCGTGTGACTGTGTGTGTGTCTGTGCGTGCTCCGTGTGTGCCCCGTGTGTGTGTCCGTGTGTGTGTGGGACTGTGTGTGACTGTGTGTGTCTGTGTGTGTGCGAGAAAGCGGTAGTGTAGCGGTGAGCGCTACGCTGCGCTACAAACCCGGCGACCCGCGTTCAATTCCCGCTCACGGCCAACACCGGTGACGATTATCTGAACCGGTCCTGGGCCTCCCCTAGGTCGACTCAGCCTCAAATTAGTATCTCGTGCAGTGTGTAGTAAACATCGCCACTGGGGAGACAAAGGCGGTCGGGCGTGGTGCTGGCCACCCACCCCCTCGTGTACCGTTCCGGCCTTCATAGGTGCTCGCTAACAGCACTTGCCCCTACAGTCTGTGAAGGCTACACGGGGGATCTTTGTCTTTGTGCGAGAGAGAGTGAGTGAGGGAGAGTGGAGAGAGGTGGGGGAGAGCGCCGTGAGTCTACGAGAGTGGCGAGAGTGGAGAGAGCCAAGGAGAGAGTGAAGGGAGTGGAGAGAGTGGCAGCCTGGGCATCTTCCGCACTCTGGTCGGAGCCAGGGTGTGTGGGATGGAGTTCCGCCACGCGCGGCTGACCCACGCCGTGCCGGCCTTCAAGGAGCAGTGGGCGCTGGAGGAGGCCGTGTGCTCGGTGGCAGATGACGGTAGAGAGCTCTGCATGCAGATGTGAGCTACCCGTCGGAGGCCGTTTGACTGTGAGGAGGGCTGCGTGCAGATGCAGCACTTGTCGTAGTTATAAAATAAAGAGAGCGAGAGCGACATAGAGTAGGAAGAGAGGGGGTAGAGAGAGAGGGGGAGCAGACAGGGGGGCAGAGAGAGAGGGAAGGGGTAAGGAGAGCATTGCGAGAAATATTTTGTTAAATCTTTAATTTAAAAGGGGGGGGGGGGTTACATAAAGCAAAGCATTAAAAAAAACAAAATGATGAACGAAGCAAAGTGCCGACTACACCGAGCATCTTCTTGTTTCCTCTGATCATAAAAAAACGAGAGTGGAGAGATAGAGAGAGTGGAGAGAGCGAAGGAGAGAGTGAGGGAGTGTAGAGAGATTGGGGGAGAGTTGCGGTGGCCTAGAGCCGTGCGAGAGAGGGCGGATCGGGGAGAGTTGCGTGTGAGAGAGGCACGAAGAGAGAGAAGGGGTGAAGGGGGACTGGGAGACAATGATGGTGTGTGGGGAGGGGGCGAGAGTGTGTGTGTGTGAGGGTGTGAGATGACGTGTGTGTGAGATGATGAGTGTGTCAGAATCAATCTTTTTTTATCCTGGAGAAATCCGATGAGCTATGAAGCTCTTTTTCACAAATATCCAGAAGGGGGCGGGTCAAAGTTACAACGATACAAAAAAACGACTGGAGTGCAAAGTTTCCGAAAGGTTAGCAAATCAGAGGTTGTGTTCAGGGGTAGATGTGTAGCCGTGATCGTGTTAAGAGGTGGGGCCGTGTTTTAGGGCTCTTATAAAATCAAAGGTTTGCCTTCGTCTCAGACATGAGCCCAGCATAAAAAAAAATTCGCAAAAATTTACCATTTTAAAAACTTTAATGACAATGTCCACATACCAATCTTTGATTAAATTATTTTTAGTCAGAATATATATTTAACTGAGCAATATTCTTAAGACATACTTTGTTAACATTAATAAAGGATCATTTATCAATATCTTTGTGAGTTATAATACTTAGTGTATAAACTTTAGACTTTAGACAAAGGCACCCAAACAAGACAAGGGTTCTGTATCAGATTACACAAAAGTGTTCTGTAATGGATAAGACCAGGGTTCTGTAATGGATGAGACCAGGGTTCTGTAATGGATAAGACCAGGGTTCTGTATTGGATGAGACCAGGGTTCTGTATTGGATGAGACCAGGGTTCTGTATTGGATAAGACTAGGGTTCTGTAATGGATAAGACCAGGGTTCTGTAATGGATAAGACCAGGGTTCTGTAATGGATGAGACCAGGGTTCTGTATTGGATAAGACCAGGGTTCTGTTATGGATAAGACCAGGGTTCTGTATTGGATGAGACCAGGGTTCTGTAATGGATGAGACCAGGGTTCTGTATTGGATAAGACCAGGGTTCCGTAATGGATAAGACCAGGGTTCTGTAATGGATAAGACCAGGGTTCTGTAATGGATAAGACCAGGGTTCTGTAATGGATAAGACCAGGGTTCTGTAATGGATAAGACCAGGGTTCTGTAATGGATGAGACCAGGGTTCTGTAATGGATAAGACCAGGGTTCTGTATTGGATGAGACCAGGGTTATGTAATGGATAAGACCAGGGTTTTGTATTGGATAAGACCAGGGTTCTGTAATGGATAAGACCAGGGTTCTGTAATGGATATGACCAGGGTTCTGTATTGGATGAGACCAGGGTTATGTAATGGATAAGACCAGGGTTCTGTAATGGATAAGACCAGGGTTCTGTAATGGATAAGACCAGGGTTCTGTAATGGATATGACCAGGGTTCTGTATTGGATGAGACGGAGGTTCTGTTATGGTTAAGACCAGGGTTCTGTATTGGATGAGACGGAGGTTCTGTGTGTGTGAGATGACGTGTGCGTGTGTGAAATGACGTGTGCGTGTGTGTGAGAGGGTGTGATGACGAGTGCGTGTGTGTGAGAGGGTGTGATGACGAGTGCGTGTGTGTGATGACGTGTGTGTGTGATGACGTGTGTGTGTGTGATGACGTGTGTGTGTGTGATGACGTGTGTGTGTGTGTGATGACGAGTGTGTGTGTGAGGGTGTGTTGCGAGGAGTGTGTGTGTGAGATGACGAGTGTGTGAGATGACGAGTGTGTGTGTGTGAGATGACGAGTGTGTGTGTGTGAGGGTGTGTGCGAGGAGTGTGTGTGTGTGTGTGCGAGGGTGTGTGCGAGGAGTGTGTGTGTGTGTGTGCGAGGAGTGTAAGTGCGGTGGTTAGCGCGCTGGGTTACGAACCCGGCGACCCGAGTTTGATTCACGGCCAACATCAGTGACGATTATCTGAACCGGTCCTGGGCCTACCCGAGGTCGGCTTAGCCTCAAATGAGTAACTGGTGTGGTGTAAACATCACCACTGGTGAGACAAAGGCGGCCGGGCGTGGTGCTGGCCATCCACCCCTTCGTGTGCCGTTCCGGCCTTCATTGGTGCTCACTAACAGCACTTGCCCCTACAGCCTGTTAAGGCTACACGGGGTATCTTTGTCTATGTTTGTGTGTAATTGGGGAGCAGCGTGGCACATCAGTGGCAAATGACATCCGAACAAATGCTGAGCATCCCCCCTAGGTCAACTCTGCCCATGTAAAAGCATCATCGCAGGGGAGACAAAGACGGCCGGGCATGGATCTGGCCACAACCACCGCCTCGTGTATACTGTCCCCAGCCTTGATAGGTGCTCGCTAACATC